AAATAAATAAATAAATAAAATAAAATAAAATAAAATAAAATAAAATAAAATAAATAAATAAATAAATAAATAAATAAATAAAAAAGTGGCCAATTCAGTATTAAAATGTTAAAATATTAAATTGAGAAGCCATTAAACCATGGGCCTCTCACAAGAAAAGACTGTTTGGGATGACTTCCCCCCCCCCACTTCAGGCTTTTCTTCCATTTTATGTTAGCCATCTGCAATGAAAGTGTTTCTTCAAGTGGCGCAGCAGGAGGCGCACCATCCTACAAGAGCGCTAGGAACCCAGCTGTGTGCCAGAAGCTTTCACCAAGTCACTCCTCCCCTCAATTATTATTTAACACAATCATTTCCAGATTCACCCTGCATTAAGTGCAGTGGGGCCTTTTCCCAGCCATGCTTGAAGTGCTTTTATGCAGCCTGCTTTTGAATATAATCGCGCGCACACCCCTTTTGCTTCCAGGTAGCTCTAGTGGTTTCATTGTGCCATCGTCAATTCTAATTTCACAAGTGGAGGTGTGAGAAATTGTTTGTGTAAAATGCTAAAGCGCCTAGGAAGGGCCTTATTCAGCCCTCAGGAGACTGCAGTGATTTCTTGAGAGCTCTTCAGTATTCAACTCAGCTTGGATCCTTTCAAGGAGAAAGGCGGGGTAAAAATATTTTAAATAAAATAAAATAAAATAAACTCAAAAACTTAGCCTACCTCTAAGTTCTCCTAACCGATGTATAAAGCTTTTAAGCAATGTCTTAATGTACACACACACACACACACACACCCCAAATCAACAACAAATAACCTTTTATTTAATCAGCACACTTACTGGTATTGCTTTTCTACGGAATGCTGAAGGCAATGCCCAATAAAAGGTAAAAGAGCAATGGCCAAAAGGGATAGATATAAGTTTGCAGCTACAGAAAACCATGCAAAGCAACAAATGATTAAGAAAATTTTGTGTCCATCTAACATTACAATCCAAACTCAAAGATATGGCAGCTATAATGAGTTTGGAATAGGCAGAGGCCTATCATACTGGAATAACTCCCTTGTACTGGTGTATCTGCCACAAGTGAACCTGCCAGCACAATTGTAGTGGCTAAGGTTAACTGGTAGAGGTGCCAAAACTGAGTGGGGAAAGGGAGGGAGCAGGGTTATGCCAGATTGAAACCTCTCTCAGCCCACACTCACAACCACTGTGCCAGGACAATGTAATGCCAAGGGTTAGAGCAGTCCCAAGTAATTTCCTACATCCATAAGCTGGGACAGCATTGAATACAGAACAGTTTTCCACCTTTCTTGATTATCAAATTCTCAATTTATGGGGGGAAATATAATAACTGAATTTCTGTGTTGCCCATCTGAATATGCAGTTATTTGTTGCACCCTGCTCACACTGAATTTGATAAAATTTTGTATTCCTTTTTTTTAGTAATATGGCACATCCACTTCATCTTGGCCTCTCTTTATATTTTATTTATTTTCCTCTCTTTCTTTGCTATGTTTCTCCAGAGATACACAAACACCTGAGAAAGCATCCGTTCTGTTTCACGTGATTTATGTCACAATCCATTTGTAAGTTTTTAAGGCACCATATATGCTAAGGCTTCCAGTGAGGATTGTAAATTTCAGGGAGTTTCATATGAAAGGAGGTAGTCTGGTGGAAGGCGGACCTTCACATTGACATGCCTCACATGCATGCAGTGTTTCTTTATTAACACTCCCACAGTTTTTAAAAACCCCGGGCAGCAGCTTCCACAGAGCTCTAGACAGCATAGCAAATGGCCAGGGATTATGGGAGTTGCAATCCAACAGCAGCTGGAAGACCATGTGTTTTTCTATTCCTGATTTAGGCAGGAATATGCTATTCTGTCCAATGTCCTTCAGTTTTTAAACTTCACTGAACATAACATACAGCGTCTTTTCAAAAGAATACATGAACACAGAGCAGCAGTTAAAATTGAAAAACAAGAAATCAGACCTTTTACGTATTTTTTAAAATACGGTTAAAATGCCCAAGCCTACAGAATTTGAATTCGCTGGCTAACTCTCTCACACACTGCACCCCATGACATAGTGGTTTAACTGTACAGTAGTACTACTGTACAGTCAAGCCTCTGCTGAGTTTGATCCCAACAGGTTCAGGTAGCCCTTAATCCCCAAGCCTACAGAATTTGAATTCACTGGCTAACTCTCTCACACACTGCACCCCGTGACATAGTGGTTTAACTGTACAGTAGTATTACAGTCAAACCTCTGCTGAGTTTGATCCCAACAGGTTCAGGTAGTCTTTCAAGGCTGACTCAGCATTTCATCTTTCTGAAGTTGGTAAAACAAGTGCCCAGCTCACTGTGGGGTAAAATGTGGTTTGCATAACTATGTCGTAAACTACCCAGAAGGTACTGTAGAACTATGGGGTGGTATATAAGTTGAAACAACAATAACAACAATTTACATAAAAAGTATGTACTGTTGTTTCTTTCGATTTCTGTTGCAGGAACTCTGTCATTCCTTGGACTGTTTGGTACATTCCTGTTTCAGTGCCAGAGCAATTATTTGCACTTGATGCATTTTTATTTACTTACTTAGAATGTTTCTCTCTCACTTCTCAATATAATTTGAAGCCATTCTGAAAATGATTTAGAGAGTGAAATTAGAGCGAAAACATCCTGAGATATCTTGTACTCTAGAGTTTCCATTGCTTTTCATTTTCTATATCACTGTCTCAGTTTTGGTCTTTAGGTCCTTTGCTTTCCATGCATTTGCTTTCAGAGCAAAAAAACACCAACTAGCTGAGGGTGGAGAAATCTTAAAGTACAGAACAAGCTTACTTTTTCTGTGCATCCCACCAAAATTCTCCTGACTTGTTTGTTTAAACTCCACCACCCACCCCCTCATGATATGTACGGATGAACATATTTCCAATATGGCAATTGTGAAGGCCATATTGCCTCCTGTATAGGGACAGACATGTAAGTTTTTCCATCCTCACTCAGAAGCTGGACACACTGATGTACCCTTCTTGAAGCTTAACTTACATCATAAGTAAACAGTT